ATCTTTCTGGTATTTATGTTCTCTAAGATTTCTTGCTGAGCATGTCATTTGAATCGTGTTCAAATGGTGCCTGCGTACTTTTTAGCAAATATATTCAACTTTAAATATCTATTACTATGGCATTTTCCATTGATCAAAATACTTAGGGTTACTTATGATCATAGTTTTATTTACATTATTAATTCATTCAGCTTCCCTCAATTGGAGGGCTTATAACGCTAAAAATCGGCTTGAATACCCGCGGTGAACACATCACAGATAGCTCATTATCTAGCTTTGTGCCTGACAACAACAAAATGTATTCTTAATTATTCAGCAGACGAGTTGTTTAAGATACTAAAAGTAAACATGAAACCCAATTTTGGGGGTACTAGTGAGCGGAAGAATTCCCCTAAACAGGTATAATTCAGTGACAAGTGATGAATCGAATGATAGATTGGGCTTCGTAATTATTTTTAGTATCTTAAACAACTTAGCTGAATAATTCAGAAAAAATTATTTAGAAGCCTACGTAATACATATGCTTCAAACGCTATATAAATATAGGTTCCCTGTGGTGTGTAAAATGTAACTAAATCTATTATACATATAAAATTTACCACTAGAAGAAGCCTTGTTTCATTTTATTTTTTTTCATTTGCCCTTGTCCAAGGCTAATGATGAAGGATGAAATTCCTCGAAACCGGTATAACTCTGTGACACGTGTTAAATCGTCTGATAGACTGGGCTTCGGATTTAATGCTAGTTTTAACCATATGCATGGCGTTTTTGTAAGGGTTCCAGAAAGTTATATTTAATATGTTTATTTCGCCAATATATACGTCATAATGTTTATATCCACAGTGCATGGTGTTCCTTTGAAGATTCCAGAAAGCTATTCATAATATGTTTATTACTATACTATAATGACCGGCCATTTATTCAGACTTCTGTCTGATATCAAGTCAGATCATAATAGCTATATAGTCTGGATGCACCATATCATAAACTCCAAAAGATGCCTTAACGTTTCGTATTGTTACGACTCTGTTCGTTTGTTAATTTTAGGTAAAAAAATTTTCCGAAGAAACTTTAGCGATACAAGTCCTTTCTTAAATAAAACTAGTTTATTCTTTCTCAATACAACTTTGC